CGTTCAACAAGACAGCCGACTCGAACAAACGCCAACGACAACGAAGACGAAGACGAAGACTCGGAAGATGGATCCACAGACGAGTCCAGCGCCTCGGACATCCTCCGTTCAGATCTACTACCAGGTCGCAAACGCAAGGGACGTTCTCTGCGTGCTGCAAAGCCTGAGAAGATACCCCGAGCGGGAGTCCGACAATCTGATCGGGCAACACGTGCTACAAACAACATGCAGGAAGCGGGTATCAACGACGTCTATCGATCTGACTCGGCTCCCAAAGTGGTTGCACAGAAGGTCTCAGTCGTCCGAGAAGTGTTTCCGAATCTACCTCGAAGTGACCCTTTTCGTGCACGACACGCCGGGGGTTGCGAAGTCTGCTTCGATGGCCCCAACGTTGCGCCTCTGGTCTACTGCCAAGGTTGCTCGCTGGCTTACCACAAGAACTGCTTGGGCAACCGCTCCACTCGCGATCATCTAGTCACCAAGATTGGAGACGAGGAGTTCGTTCTACAATGCAAGAGGTGCATCAACTTCTACAAGAAGAAAGACGCAACTGCTCCCGATCTATCCAGATGTCAGGATTGCGCTATCTCGGGTCCTTCCTGTCGACCCTTTAGACGTCGCAAAACCACACAGCAGGAGATGAAGGAGCGCGAGGAAAACGACGGCCATGATCCAGTTGTCGACGTACCTTCTGAGCTTGTCAACGATCCCAACAACGTCATGTTCCGCTGCACGAAGTGCTCTCGTGCCTGGCATTACCATCATCTACCACCCATGTCGCAGTACGCTATGGACGTCAATCGCGACGACGAGGAGATGGCAGATGAGCGTTTCCGCGAGTACTCTGGCAAATGGCTCTGCAAGGAGTGTGACGAGACTTTCGATCAGAAGGTAGGCGGTATCATCGCTTGGCGCCCATCGGATGTTGAGACATACCGTCCGGGTACACCATGTGAACTCGTTTGCGAAGACGATAAGCAGTACTTGATCAAGTGGGAGAACGAGTCCTACTTCCGATCCGCATGGCACTCCGGAGCCTGGACTTGGGGTGTCACGGCTGCAGTCCAGCGCAAGGCCTTCTTTAAGCGCGAGGACGGACCGAAGATGCGGACCGAAGATGCCATCCCCGAGGAGTACCTTCGCATCGATATCGTCCTCGATATCAAGTACACGAGTTATGTTGAAGTCCGTAGTGAAGAGATTGACAAAGCTCGTATCAAGGAAGTCGACAAGGCGCTCATCAAGTACAAGGGACTCGGTTACGAAGATACAGTATGGGAGAGCGTACCAACCCCAGAAGACGGTGACAGGTGGCTCGACTTTGTCACTGCTTACAACGACTGGGTGGCAGGTCGCTACGTCAAGATTCCCAAGCAAGGACCCCTCAAAGGACGCATTGAAAAGGCTCGCAGCACATCATTTGCCAAACTTGAGCGAGAGAAACAGCCTGATAACCTTGTTGGTGGTGAGCTGATGAAGTATCAGCTGGAGGGTCTCAACTGGCTTTACTACAAGTGGTACGACCAGAAGAACGCCATCCTCGCCGACGAGATGGGTCTCGGAAAGACGATTCAAGTCATTGCCTTTATGGCGACCCTCATCCAAGAGCACAACTGCTTCCCCTTCTTGATTGTAGTCCCCAACTCGACATGTGCCAATTGGCGACGAGAGATCAAGCAATGGGCGCCGTCTCTTCGCGTGGTGGCTTACTTCGGGTCCGCCAAGGCTCGTGAGATGGCCTACCAGTACGAGATGTATCCCGAGAAGACAACAGACTTGCGATGCCACATCGTTGTGACCTCCTACGACGCAGCCGCCGATGACAACTGCAGGAGGTTCTTCAGGGGTGTTAGCTGGGCAGGTCTCGTCGTTGACGAAGGCCAGCGCTTGAAGAACGACAAGTCTCAGTTGTATACAGCTCTTACGGCAGTTCGCGCGCCGTTTCGCCTTTTGTTGACTGGTACGCCGCTGCAAAACAATGCCCGTGAGCTCTTCAACTTGCTGCACTTCCTCGACGACACTATCGATGCTGCTGCGCTTGAGGAGCAGTACGCTGAGATGACAGCGGACAATATCCGAGAGCTTCATGACCAGATCCGACCCTTCATTCTGCGACGTACTAAGGCCAAGGTCCTGACTTTCCTCCCGCCTTTGGGTCAGATCATTCTTCCCATCTCCATGAGCCATCTCCAGAAGCAAGTCTACAAGTCTATCTTGTCCAAGAGTCCAGAGTTGCTCAAAGCTCTCTTCACGTCCGATAAGCAGCTGAAGCAGCAGGAACGTGCGAACTTGAGCAATATACTTATGCAGCTACGCAAGTGTCTTTGCCATCCATTCGTCTATAGCAGAGAGATTGAAGAGCGAAGCGAAGTTGCCGCAGTCTCTCATCGCAATCTCGTCGAGGCTTCCGCCAAGCTATCTCTTCTTGAGACCCTACTTCCGAAGCTTCAGGAACGCGGTCATCGCGTACTCATCTTTAGCCAGTTTCTTGACATGCTCAATATCATCGAGGACTTTTTGGACGGTATGCAGCTTCCGTACCAGCGCCTAGACGGTACCATGGGCTCGCTCGAGAAGCAGAAGCGCATCGACCAGTTCAACGCACCCGACTCGCCGCTATTCGCCTTCCTTCTCTCCACACGTGCTGGTGGTGTAGGCATCAATCTTGCAACCGCTGATACCGTCATCATCCTCGATCCCGATTGGAATCCTCATCAAGATCTTCAAGCCATTGCTCGAGCTCATCGTATCGGTCAGAAGAAGAAGGTGCTGTGCCTTCAGCTGGCGACTCGAGCCTCTGTAGAGGAGAAGATCATGCAGATGGGCAAGAAGAAGATGGCCCTTGACAAAGTCGTTGTCCAAGATCTCGACCGTGAAGACCCCGAGGATGAGGATGTCGAGTCGATACTCAAGCATGGCGCGGCGGAGCTCTTCAAAGACGACGATGCCGACCATGACATCCGGTACGATGACGCCTCCATCGACAAGCTACTCGATCGTAGCCAGATCGAGAATACACGGACTGGTGACGATGACTCCGCGGAATCTCAGTTTGGCTTTGCCCGTATCTGGGTCAACGAGAAAGGCGCATTACAGGACGATTTCGACACGGTAGACGAGGAAGTTGCTCCAGATCCAGGTGTCTGGGACAAGATCTTGAAGGAACGACAAGCCGCCGCAGCCGCTGAGGCACTTGCAAAGGCGGAGGCTATGGGTCGAGGACGGCGGGCTAAACAAGTACGCAATGTCTTATCCTCCATTAGAATAAGTACTAACATCGTGCAGACTGTCGATTACGTGATAGATCCAAAAGACGCCGATGCAGCATCCACCGCAGGAGACGATCGACGCGAGGAATCCGCATTACCGCCGTCACCAATCAAGAAGCCGAGCAGGAAGCGCAAAGCCAAGACAGGTTCCGAAAGCGATACTGACTTCCAAGCCGAGTCTGAAGACGAAAGCGAGCCTGAGCCGGGTCATGACGAGGTCGATGCAGCCAAGGAGCTCGGTCATGTTCGCCATCGCAGTACAACAAACAACGCCAGCTCTTCGCTGTACAAGCAGAATGGCGCAGGTGCGTCTCAAGTTCCTTTGTCAAAGTCCCCCACTGCACCTGTTCCTGTGCAAACTACGCCTAAGAAGGGTGGTGCGAGAGCTGTCAGGTCGCCATTGAAGCCGGTGAAGATTGTGCCACCGAAAGGTGGTACTCGAATGAGACTCGAGCTCTTGACACATCCGAGCAGTGATGGTCGGAGTCATCCAGCCACTTCTTCAGACCAGGCGTCGTCACCCCGCCCACCAGCCGCCTTCATCGATCTCTCCACACCACCACCAGAGTCATCGCCACAAGCCCCAAAGACTAACGAAGTCACAGTCAAACCCTTCGAGCGCGCCACTATCCCCATCCGCAACCCCCTCGAACCAACCTACGGCTCCTTCGGCAACCGTATCTGCCCCGCCTGTCACAAGAACCACCCTCAAGGCGCCTGCGAACTCAAAGCCGCCGGCGTCGAACATTGCAACCTCTGCGGCCTAGCCCACTTCGGCCACTCGCGCACCTGCCCACACATCAAATCCGAAACCCAAGTCCGCGAGATGCTCGAGGCGCTTAAGAACTCGCCCGAAAAGAAAGAACTCGTTGATGCGGCCATGAAGTACCTCCGTGGTGTCAAGGGCACGCTTGTGCAGCAGAAGAAGAGGGATAGGGAAAAGGCGGCGCTGGCTAAGGGCCAGCCTATTCCTCCTCCTACTTACTCTGGTATGGGTCGTCCGCCTAAGAACGCGTATAACAGGCCGCCGGGCAGTATGAGCGGGAGTGTGAATGGTGGAGGTTCTGGCGCTGGGCCAGGCTCTGGTTCTGTGGGCCCGCCTATGTCTATGTCTGGAGGTTCTTCGAACGATCCGTCTCGCTCGTATGCAGCGTTCGCGCCTCAGGCACAGATGGAAGGGGTGTATGGTGGTGCGAATGGTGTTATGCAGCAAGCACAACGCATGGCTCAGCAGCAGCAGATGGTTCAACAGCTGCAAGGTCAGGGATATGACGATCAGCAGGTCGAGAATGCGCTGAGGGGCTTTTTGTTTCAGGGCTAGAGGCGTGGTGTGTCTTGAGCGATATGGTGGAATAGCGTCTCTCGCTGAATTGCTTGGGAGCGGGATCGGTATTGTCGATTAGGAGGTCTGGGTGCAGGAAAAGGCGTTCTGGTATTGCATGGTAGCTTGGCGTGGGGAGCATAGGTCATGGTGCCGAACGTGCTTGGCCTTTGAGGAGTTGGAGTATGTTTACTAGACATATTGATACCCCGTAATGAACGTCAGAAAGTCGTTCGTACGTCAAAATTATACGGTGTTAGACAAATGCAGCTTGCCAACAATTTGTGTTAATCATAGAGGGCTGCGTATGCAGTGAGTAGTACAGTGACAAGTCTAGGCCTCGTTACGTTTGCTTGCTTTCTCGCTGCTTCAAGGGAGTTCAATTCGCGCTCCAAACCGTTAGCATCGCCTCAGTGGTTGGACACCAAAGTGCCAGTCCTTGTCACAACCTCTCCTTCCTCAGCGCCAGCGATAGTATCATCAGCCTGTACAACAGCTTCCTCCTCGTCTTCCTCACAACCCTCCTCTCCTATTTGCTCCCCCTCCTCCTCATCCCCCTCCCCAAGCGTCTCCCTCAAACTCTCAACCCAAGCATCATACTCGCCGACATCCTGCGTCACCGCCCCAGCACCCAACACCTTCCCCCTCTGCTTGACCTGCTCTTCCTTAGCAATCAACGCCTTCTCTAGCACGCCAATCTTGACCTCGTCTCCATTTCGTCCCAATGTCCTCTCATCCCAACCTCCTTTCTCATCACTGACCAGCCCGTTCCGCCAGCAAAACGCTATCCACTGCCGCCAATGCTCATTCTGCTCCAAGACCTCAACGTTGCCAATAACGAACAGCGCTTCTTTCGCTCGCGTAAGAGCGACGTTCATCTTCCTGCCTCCACCCACGATACCCAAGCCTGCCTTTTCGTCTTTAGCCAGAAACCTCGTTCGTGCTCGTGTTGTACATAGCACAACGACCCGTTTCTCGAGTCCTTGAAAAGCTTCCAAGGGACCGATGTTGACGTCCATAATCCTGCGCCTCTACCATACTCGGATGAACGGATCATTGAACGAAGGAGTTTGACCTGTGCGGCGAAGGGCGACATGATGCATATGTCTGATTGCTTGACGGAGGAATAGTGGTGGAGGGTTTGGACTATGTTGCAGGCGATGCGCGCTTCGGATATGTTGTACCAGCCGCCGTTGTCGCGTTCGATTTCGTCGAGGCCGGTGTGTGGGATGAATAGAACGGGCCACTTGCGGCCGCGCCAGAGATCGGACTGTTGGAGTGGGGTGTTTGGGAGTGGAGCCTCTGGGATCAGGGTGTTGTTGTAGAAGAGAGCGCTTGGTACGCTGAGGATGGCGGGATGGGAACGGTAGTTTCGGACGAGTAATGTGAATGGTGGGTATGTGATCGGTAACATTGCCTGCTTCAGTACTGGTGGGCCGGATGATGGCTTGATCTTGGAGCGCGAGAGAGGGTGGTTCTCGTATAGCGGTCGTTGAAAAAGCCGGGCGAACAACGACCTGCGTACTCGAAGGTCGCGGGATACGGTTCGTGGTCCCAGTTGCTTCTCATCTCCTGCCATCACTATGCGTGGCTGGGGCGACGTGGTCGGATAAGTGAAAGGCGGGCACACAACGCTAATGGCAGGCAAGACGTCTAGTTCAGTAGCTTGAGCTGCCTCGTCTATGAGTAGGGCGCTCCAATGTAGCTTCGGATTGGGGATTTCGTCGTCCGGGCTGAAAGCTGATGACATATTCCTTTGTATAGTCCAGAGATCATTGTTGGTCAATCTTGCGTCTGCCAGTATGGCCGCATCTTGACAAGAGGTTACTACGATGTTGAAGGCCATGAGCTCCCGGAATGGTGGCAGACAGAACATGTCGTTCTCGATATGGCAGTACTGCAATAGCTCCCGTGGTACCTCGTTATCAGCCCTGCCTGGTCGGTTAAGTCGAAATAGCTCTTTTCGTGAGAGATATTCCTTCAGCCTGAGGGCGAGTGTATCCGCCGCGGCCTCCGATGGAGCGCATATTAGCATGTGTGCGATATTTGTAGTGTTCAACAGTTGCATTGCCGTCTCTACCAGAGTCTTTGTCTTTCCTGTACCTGTTAGGGTTAAGATAACAAGTCAGTGTAGTCCTAGATGCAATTCGCACAGTTGTTCCCTTACCTGGCGGTCCACTGATCAAGTAAGGCACAGTCCCATATACGTTAGTACATATATCGTTGACAGCATGCGCTTGTTCGTAGTTGACAGCGCGATCGAAAAGCTTGCGATGGGGAATTTTGCGCAGTGTAGTTTGGACTTCTCCATGAGCTTCATCAGGGAACAGGATTCGGAGACTCCAATCGTTATGAGAATCGTGGGATGCGGCTCTCGTGGCGTCGGCATGAGGTGTGGCATACTTGACACCGGGCGATTCGCCAAAATGATTCAGTCTACCGTTCGAGGATGGGTAGCCATATGTCCGTGGGGAGAAGCCGACGAGTCTCAGCTCGGAGCTGAGGTGTGCCAAAGCTTTTCGCCGGCTTTGGAGGACGTTGAACTTCAGTGGAATGACGACGTTAGCGAACATGCGCATGGGTGGTACCGGTGGACAGAGGCCATCTGCTTTGAAATAGACTGTTTCTTGCGCACGGTTGACACCGAAGACTGCGGTATTGTGCTGTACGCCTGTCCAGGGCCTGAATGCTATTGAAGGAGTTCCTATGTATCCGAATTGGTAATCATCCACATAATTTGGCATCAACGTCAAGGCTCCTGTCTCGTTAACATACAGTTGACGTATCTGAAGCACGTCGCCCATTTCAATGTGTGGGTTATCTTCTCTCAGTCCTGGGATCGATAGGCACCAGATGCCCTCCAATGGATGGTATTGCCAGAGTGGGACTTGATACATCGCGTATGATTCGTTTTCTTTCTCCGTCGCTATACACTCAATGGCAGTCGATGTGTCGAAGTGTTGCAGATAGGTAGACTCATTGAGCGACTTAGGGAAACCCGCTGCTGATCTGATCGTGTGATCTTCAGGCTCCGCGTAGGGTGGAGGTACAAAGCTTGTTCCGGCGACTGTATGTACATATTGCTCGAAGTCGATCAAATGTCTGGGTCTTGTGTTGATGACAGTAGCCACTTCGGTGTTGATTGCTTGGAGACCTGGTGGAACGAAAGGCGCGGCGTATACATCATAATCCCATGCAATGTCAGCTGGGTCACTCTCGGAGGTATCGTTGTTCCTGGAAGTCTCTGGTATACCTTGGTCCGTCGGTGAGACTTGCTGCTCTTTTGGCCTGAGAGCGATATTAGGAACGGCTACAAGCTTTGAAATGTCCTTCTCCATGGTTTTACCGTGCTTGTGTTGACCTCCGTTCACACCGGAAGAATTATGCGGCCGGGTGGTCGCTTGGGGCATCGCGCTATCGGTCGTCGTAATGCTCTGTGTCTGCGAGCAGCAGTGTTGACCAGGCGCGCTGCTAGAGCTCTTGAGCCACGCCGTCCCTGAGACTGTAAGGATTGGAAAATTCGAATGACTTCCTGGGTCGATTTCGATATCACGGAATGTTTCCGCCAGAGATGGCGCGAGGTACCTGCTATTGCGAACGAGCACTACGGCGCAATATGATCCCGAGCGGTAGATTGAACCCGGAGCTGGCCCGCAGTGCTACAACACCCTAATATTCCAACAGAAATGACTAGGAAATATCATCTGGTGTATAGAAGTGCAAAAGTCGTCCCAAACATTGACTCCGTAGATCACCCTTTTAGAAATTCAATGAACTGCGGACGTCCGCTTGGCTGGAACGTGCGTGTTGGGAGGTTGAGGACTAAGGCAGCAAGCCGCATCAGACAGCACTGGAAGATATATTGTGATGTATACTTTCAAGAAATGGATCCCAATCGTGTCAATATCGGGCGTCGTTGTGGCAAAAGGTCAAGTGTTGTAGGTGTAATGTCGCGTAGCAGCCGTGATGATCGGTCCTGCCTAGCGCCGCGCTAAAACTCAGACGCAAACGCGTCACCGTTGGACGCACTCCAGATTATCTTCCGGCCGCCCACTACGACTGGAGACACAGGCTCTGCCATTTGATCCACGGTATCGCCTGTCGCTACTACATCAGCAGCTTGAGAGCGTGTATCTTCTTTCATCAGATCGCTGATTGACCGTACAGTGTTGTCTCGACGCGACTAGACGCGCTATCACAATTCCGACAGCTCTAAAGATAATGGTGAAATATGCGTGTATCACGCGGATGACATGACAGAAGCGTGTGCAGTTCGACTGGATAATCGCATGTGTCATACATGTATCCACCCGTATGTTGTGCGGCACTGCTGCTATCGACATCGATCTTGCTGCACTTCCCCGCAATACGTCATGATCCGAGGTTGTACAGGTGGACATCAGTTTGTCGAACATGCCGCATCAGTGAGTATAGCATCTATTCTACTGTTGCGCGACCCAGTCTCATTCTTTATTTTTTCCATCACATTTCTCCTACACTGCTTCATCCACAATGTCCAATCAGCAGCTGGTCGAAAGCAAAGGCATCTTTCACGGCCTACCTGTATATCCCTCGTCGTTGAAAGGGCTCACAGCCATTATAACCGGGGCAAATGGTATCTCTGGTAACTATATGTTGCGTGTGCTAGCGCAGGATCCCGAGCGATGGACGAAGATTTACTGTTTGTCACGGAGACCACCCGCGATCCCCGACGGACTACCGCAGAATGCCGAGCACATACCTCTCGACTTCCTGCAGGACTCAGAAGATATCGCGAAAGTGCTGGAGGAGAAGGGTGTCAAGGCCGACTACGTTTTCTTTTACTCCTACGTGCAAGTTAAGCCGAAAGAAGGTGGTGGCTTGTGGAGCGACGCCGAGGAGATGTGCAAGGTGAACAGTACGTGCTAGCTGATTTATAACTTCCCATTTTGCGAGACTGACCTACCGCAGCCGCCCTCCTCAAGAACTTCTGTGAAGCTCTCACCATAGCCAACATCAAACCAAAGCGCATCATGCTCCAGACCGGCGCGAAGAACTACGGTATCCATCTCGGCCCTGCAGCTACTCCCCAGGAAGAAACAGCACCACGCGTCACTCTCGAACCCAACTTCTACTACCCACAAGAAGATTTCCTCTGGGACTTTTGCAAAAGGCAGGGTATCGACTGGAACGTATGCATGCCAGCGGGTATTCTCGGCGCTGTGCCGGACGCCGCAATGAACCTTGTTTTTCCGCTGGGCGTCTATGCAAGTGTACAGAAACACTTAGGCGAGAAGCTTGAGTTTCCAACTGACCTTCAAGCATGGGAAGTGAACAGATGCATGTCGAGCAGCAAGATGAACGCGTACATGGAGCAATGGGCTGTGCTTAACGATGGGGCGAAGAACGAGAAGTTCAATACTATGGACGGTACGACCTTTACGTGGGGTAATTTCTGGCCAAAGTATGCGGGATGGTATGGCATTGGCTATGAGACTCCCAGCCTGGACGACAGTGCCTACACAGTCATTGCTACAAAGCACGATCCGCCCCCGCGGGGCTTCGGTCCCCCTGCAAAGCTCCGCGTCCGTTTCACGCTGACTGATTGGGCAAAGCAAGAGAAGGTACAAAAGGCATGGGAGGAGATCATTACTAAACATGGTCTCAAGGTAGACAAGCTTCAAGATATGGATATCGATCGCATCTTTGGATTTACGGACGGCGGCTTGATGGGCTCTTCTCTGGATCTTACAATGAACAAGGCGCGGAAGATGGGCTGGCATGGGTTCGTGGACTCAAATGACGCTATCAGGGAGGTGCTTGGAGAGTTTGCAGAACTCAAGATGATTCCTCCTCCAGAGATATAGTTCGCGAGACAGAGTGATCAATTAGGTTCTCTGTCCGCTCCCAAAGATTCGCGTAGCCTTCCCAGACGGATCCACTAGCAAACGCCCCTTTGTAAAGGTTCTTGATGACTTGAATGACATCGTTCTCTTGCAGACCATCATAAGCTGCCATTCGCTTCGTCATCTCGTCCATAAGAAGTGCATTCGAGTATGTGTTCTACTTCATCCCGATCTTTTGAATGATCCAACCAAAATAAGATGCTTCCTAGTCAGTGCGCTTCCGTTCTTTTGGTGATGCTGTCGTAAAGACATGAAATTTCCCCGATATTGTGACCTTTTTGAGCGCTGGCAACTTTCAAGCACCGGCAAGACGTTAAGGCTGTGACCTGCTGCTGACGTCACTGGGTTCGAACATCCATGAGCAACCCATATACTAAATACGTCAGGTTCGTAAAAGCAGAGTACACAGGTCGCCGCAGTCGTAATGTGTAGGTAGTGAAGGAGGCGGAGCTGACTCCTGACGCTAAGGCACCCGCGCTAGCACACGCGGAGCAGGAGCCCCGCCCCACGTCGCGGAATGGCTTGCTGTCAACGCGTTTTCTCGGAAACAACTTGCTAATTGTTTGCGGATATGGGAATATCCTAAATCCCTTCGAGATTGGACTCGCAATCGCTGTGGGTTATTTTCGATAGGTGTCTCTTGCCAACCCAATTGGCCGACTTTCCCGTCAAGGCACCGACGCGTTCGCCATCAACGCCGACGACGCGCTACCTTCAAGATGTTAGCCGACGGAAAGATCGACTCGCTAGATACGCATCTAGAGCAGTTCAAACTCAATGATCAAGCCAGGCAAAATGATCTAACAGTAAGCCAATACTGAGATTTCCTCACTATCTAGGTAGTCCGCATTCCGCTAACCCCGCTTAGAACCTCCTTAGAGAGTATGGGCAACTACTCGACGAATACAAAGACCTAAAAAGAGCCTATGAACAGAAAGGCAAGAGCACTATCGCTGCGCCTCCAGGCATACCTATACCAACCATAGCTGCGGCGACAACGGCTCGCAACCCATACGTCTTGGTGTTAATAGACGGCAACAACTACATCGTCAGTATTATCATGACTTTTCGAACTTCGCGCTGACATATTTCAGTTCAACGATGAATTCATTCGCGACAAGGAAGAAGGTGGAATGCGCGCTGCTCGTATGCTCAACGACGCCATTGAGAAATACCTCCTGCAAAGCTTCCCACAAGCCCGATCCGCCCGCATTCATGTCAAAATCTACGCAGACTTGACCAATCTATCTAAGCAACTAGCTAGGTCCAAGCTCGTCGGTTTGGAAAAGCGTTCGCTTTCTCCCTTCTCGGCTGCGTTTACCCGAGCCATCAGCCTCTTCGACTTCGTTGATGCTTTAGACGAAGAAGGCACCAAATTTAAGATCCGAGAACAATTCAAGATCGCCTCCGAGGATAGTGCGTGCAGCCATGTTCTGTACGCCGCTTGCCACGATCCGGCTTATTTATCCCAACTCGTACCCTTCAGCGGTGTACGCGACAAGATTACCCTTGTCCAAGGCGCTGGATGGAACTCGGAGTTCCACCAGTTTAACTTGAACGTCACACAGTTCCCCACTGTCTTTAGATGGTCGGAACTTCCCGTTACTGTGCCTACAACCAAAGGTGGTCCATCAATAGCACCCAAACAAAAGGCACTAGCCGCAGTACAGAAACCGATACTCACACCCGGCACGTCGACTCCACGCAAAGAATCATGGAGACGAGACGACTCCTTTAGCATGAGCGACTCCGCATTCGGCGATCTATCTCCGATGGAATCCAACAGTTTCTTCGACCAAGAACGCGTAGGCTGGGAAGACCGTTCCGCATACACCCAAACAGCCAAGTACTCCTCAAAACCAGAAAAAGACTCACAGCTATGCAAATACTTCCAAAAAGGAAATTGCCGCTTCGGCACCAAATGCAACTTCCTCCACATCCTCAAGACCCACTCCGATACAAACGGATCCGGCTCTTCCCAACCACCAAGAGGGCCCACAGGAGCGCCATACCCCTCTCTACCACTCTCATCCCAATCATCCCAACAACACCCCTCCCCCAAGACCTCCCTCTCCGCCCTCCTCCCCGCCGCCCCAATCCCGGGCTTCATCCCCCTAAACACCTCCCACCAACGCCTCGACCCCCACCTCCCCATGCCCGCACCCTCCGCCTGGAAAACCTACAACGCGCGCTTCGCCAAAGCGAAACCCTGCAACACATTCCACCTGCAGCAGCGCTGCACAACCCCAAACTGTCCTTTCGACCACAGCGAACTAGAACCCGAGGCGAGGCAAGTGCTGGAGTATGTGGTGAAGTGTAATCCTTGTCCGAGGAAAGGGGCGTGTAGGAGAGCGGATTGCTTTTATGGACATCATTGTCAGAGGGAGGGGTGTAGTGAGGGGGAGGGGTGGGGCGTTAAGAAGTGTCGGTTTAAGAGGGAGATGCATTACTGTGAGAAGGATTTGAGGGTGGGGAGTTTGGTGCCTGCTGGGGAGGACGTGGGTGGGAATGGGAATGGGAGTGGGGTGGGGATGAGTGGACTGGAGGTTGGGGATGGGGAGGATTTCATGTGGTAGGCTGGTTTAGATGGAGAGGATGTGTGGTTGGAATGGAAGGAATTGGCGATTTATGAATAATATGTATCGATGTCATATCACATTCCTGTATGGTATAGCCTTGGTATGAGCTAGTCTATGACGATAAAGCTTCCAAGTAAATGCCCATGCCCACCAAACGCCACCGCTAGAAGCACCTGTATATGCACAAACAACTCGAAAGAGCAAAGTGGTATAGAACATCCCAAAGATGAAACCAAAAACATTACACCGTCTTCAACACTCAAGCTAATATTTCTTCCCCCTCCGTCTCGGCAACCCAGACTCTACTCCCATGCCCACACCTGCCGTCGTCGCACTCGGCGGAATAACCACCTTGGGCGCCATCAACCCCTTCTTAGGCGTCGCGTCACCCATGCCGACTCTGCTCACATTCTCCTTATCACCTGCCTTGGCAGACGAGGGTGTTTGTGGCAAGACAACTTTTTTCGGCGCAGCAAGCCGGCTTTTGCGTTGGACGCCTACAGGTGCGACGTCGAGAGATGGGAGTTTCGTGTCTGTTGTGCTGGAAGAGAGACTGCTGTTTAGAGATGTTGATGTTGACGTAGGCGTGGGAGTAGCCGCGGGTGTAGAAGAAGAAGAGTTGGACGATGCAACGGCCATCTTCTTGACTTTGGTTGATTTGGGCTTCGATAATTGTTTCTCTTGCGTCGCAGCCTTTTCTTCTTGAACAGCTTCCGGGAGGAGACTTGCAGGTGCCAGAAGACCCTTCCCAGGCGTACCGTTCGATGTGCCCAACCCACGTACTCTGCGTATCTTGGGTGTGGACGTCTTGCTCGTCTTTTCCTTCTTCTTCTTGGGCTCGGGGGTGCAGTCAGACATGCCTAGTTCGTCTGGTGTGGCTAGGGACTCTGCGTCTGCTAGGGCGTTGGCGAGGGTCTCGGGGTTCTCTTGGTAGTATGCTAGTGTTTCGTCCCAGCGGACGTTTTTGCCGACGACGAGTTCTTTGGTGGAGTCGTCGAGGGGAGGGAGACTGGAGTAGTCCATAGCGAGCTTCATTAGTCGGACGGTGACGCAGAAAGCACCCTGTTTGTTCTTGCGCGTGTTGTTGCGGGTCATGTCGGCGAGGACCTTGGCGTCGTCCTTCTTGAGTACGACGACTTCGTTCCCGTCGGCACGGCGAATGTTGATCTTTGGTGCTGGTGCTGGGCCGATTGACGCGGGAGTGGGTAACCTTGTCTTCTTTGCTCGTGCAGAACGTCTTGACCCTTGTTCGCTCTTCTCTTCCGCGGTTTCGATGTCCGTCGCGCCAGGGGTAGGTGATGGAAGCTTTTCATCTGGCTTGGCTAGCGTGAGTGTTTGCGACAGATCCAGCGTCAATTCGGTGTGCTGCTTAGTAGGTGAGTTGGGATCCTTCTCTTCAAGCACCTTGCGGGGTGAGGCTAGGGCATGTTTGATGATATCTGAGTCCCGTCGGTTCTGTACAGATTCTCTCTTGTGGGTAGTGACGGCAGCCTTCTCAGCCTTGCTTGCGGCAGCACGAGTCAGGAAGTCTTTGAGGATGGCGGTGTCATCGTCGATAGCGACCGTCATTGTGACATCGTCAGGTCCAGACTCGGGGCGTGGTGGAGGCGGAGGCGAGTGTAGTCTGCGTGGGGCAGGCGACTGTGGTTTGCTGGGTGTGAACGAGAATGTCAATCCATCGGCGATGTCTATAGATGCTGAGGCAGGCGCGTCGGTCATGGTAAGGTCCTGGGCAGGGGACTGAAGAGCCTCAGGGGAGGCTGGTTCCTCCTCAGGCCGCAGATCATCATCCATCTCTTCTTGCTCAAGCTCGTTGGGCTCTGACTGAACTGCTGTAGGCGCAAGACTGTGCTCTTGAAGCGCTGCTTGATAATCCCGCAATATGTTCAGCTGCAAAGAAGCTTCCGTGAACTCGTCTTCACGGTCGACCGCTTCAGGACACTTGAGTATATCTTCCTTCCGAACTGCGTCTGTCGATGTACCTAGCTCAACCTCAGATAATTCCACGTCCTCCTCATCTTCGTCGCTGACGTCTTCGTCAAGTGCTGGTGGCGGTGAAGTCGTGGTGTTTTCTAACGGCAACGCTGGGTACTGTAGCTCTGTCACAGTCTCGGGTGTCTCTGACATCAGCTCGGTATCTTCACGCGTTGTTTTGTCTTGTTGGTTGACCACCTCATCTTGGATCTCAACATCCTCTTGTGGTTCCCCACGAACGGAGATCATTTCCTCTGTAGCGATCTCCTCTGAAACATTGCTGATGCTTTCGGTGGATACGATCTCAGTCATAGCCGTCTCCGCCTCTGCTTCTAAGTTGTCGCTCAGAGGAAGCTCTGGATATTCGACCTTCTCCGGCGATGCGGTCGGGATATTCGACTGCTCCCTTAGTGGCGAACGGAATAGCTTCGCGAGCGTCGCGTCTTGTGTGGATTCTGCTTCTTCTTGTTCTTTGTCGTCTGCGTCTATGATCTCGTAATCGGTAGCTTCGGCCGTCGGCGCGTCCACTGCGAAAGTGAAAGTCGAGGTCTCTTCGTACGCAGAAGGTACGTTTTCCACTAGTTCGGTCTGTTCGATTATGTTTGTATCTGTCTCGTTGATGCTATCCTCGCCTTCCACGGTATGAGCACTTTCTCCCTCCTCTTCACTGTCGACTTCGTCGTTTGCACCGATCGTGGGGTCCTCGATCTGAGTCGCTCTCTTTCCTATAAGTAATCAGCGGATGTCGTGGCCATGCGCGTAAGTAACGTACTTGGCAGGACGCTCTTCCTGCGGTCCCAGCGCGTCGCCTTAAACGCGCGCTTCTTGCCGCCAAGCTTGCTCGTTGATTTCTCCATAGCCTTTGGGCTCATGTGCTGCCGCCTCTTTACTGGTCTTGAACGCGCGTCTCGTTCCTCCTCGTCTTCTGCTTCTTGTGGTGTGTCGTCGGCACGCGACCTGAGATTGAATCTGCGCCAAATCTTCTTCTCCTTTCCTTCTCCCACCCTCTTTACTTCTTGTTTCCTCTCCCATCCTCGCGGTATTTTGGAAACTGGCAGCGCATTTGGGTCGAGGAATGCCGCATTGGTCTCGTTCCAGGTGTTGTCGAATGTTGCTGTGGGCGCGGCGCGCTTGCGCGGAGTGAAAACCATGACGTCGGCCGTGTATTGTTACTGTAATGAATAGATCAATGGCGCGCAAACACGGGAACTGTGTCGTAGGCTCGTTAGTAGGGTCGTGACGAGGGTGTCGTCTGTGTTGGCCTCCGTCGCTAGGAAGGTGCGATCGTAAACAAAGCCGGACAGGGATTAGGATGGGGCAGGCACGCTAAGGAGATTGCCGCGGCGGAAACTTTTGAATCCACCGAGTCGACGACGACGACGCCATCGCCATTCGCAGTCTGTGCAGCACCAGCTCTCACGTCACATCCAAGTCGCATTCATCTCCCGAACCGCATCTACAAGATGGTACCGAAACCCTCAGGCACCGCCGTCCAGTCGGCCACGCACCGACCCCTCCCACCACTGCCAAAACTCCGCGTCCGCCGTCCGAACAAGCCAGAAGCGAACCCATGCTTAGGAGCGATGTCATCAGTTCTGGGTATGTGAAGAGATTGGAATATATCGAAGGAAGGCGCAACGCTATGTGGAATGCAATGGGGAAGCCACGACGAATCTGGGCTGACATGGCTACAGGATGCTGGGCATCTTCCGGCTACAGTGTGCAAGGCTGCGCACAGCTTGAACAGAAACTACGGCAATGCATGGATGCGCCAGTACGTCCACCTCCTATCAACTCACAAACGCGTCTAACCCTTCATAGCGAAACCCCAACCAGAAGAAGAACAACATCAACTACCACCTCTCAAGAATGTACCCCAAGATCGTCGGCCCCCACAAGCGGGACTAGACCGCCCACGCATTCCTTTGTACATTATGTATACCCTTACGACGGCCACCCGTACGAAACAGCATCATGGGGGAGTTCAAGTCGATGGATTCATCGACAGGCGTTATGGTTACCATCGTTGTATATAGACGAATCTAGGAAGAGTCGGGCATGCTATCTTCAATTGAAAACAAACATCTATCAGGCCATTACGTACACATCAAAGCTCACGCAAGGGAGGCCTCAGACCACGACCTGGCCTTGGCCGTCAGATGTCTTAGCCTAACTGCAGGACGACCCTTCGCGTACGACCGCTCTGCTTTGTCTGTTGGCTTCATTTCCCAGACCGACTACCACTCAATGATGCAACAGCGAGCCAGCTTTACGACCACAATCTGCCGAAACAGGCAGTGCATGTAATCCCCCACGTGCATCCACGTGCAATACACCTTTGTATGTTTCATCGCAGGCCTACAGGTCAACTCTCCATCTCATCGCCCAATAGCTAAAGACATCGAACTAAGGGATTACTGCAGTATTATACCCCGCTCGTCATCCCGCATAATTATGCTGTGCATCGTGCTCACTTGGGCTATATTTACCTTCTTTCGCCCAACGCCACATGCAGGCTTAGACCCACTCACTCTACACCCCACCAGCCCACCTACCAATGCGCTGCTGCGCCCCAAGCCGACCTGATCCTACACCAACCTTCATCCGGCCGCACACCAGACCTTGCCCAACCCCCTCACTGGCCCACCGCGTACACGTCTCGTCCAGGGCGGAAAATGCCCGACGTGATTGGACTGATGTGCGAAGAGGTGAAGGGTGTAATGCGACGCCTTACCTGAAGCTACCCCAGCTCACCCGCATCATCGCCAGACGAAGCCGCTTTCAATTGGATCGCCAGGGCCATGGCCCGATTTCTACAGCCAGGGAAGCTCTGGAGCTTACCCTGCCGCAACATGTGTTGCTAGGGTGCTGGGTTCCCTCCCACATGCACTCAGCCGCGTAAGATGTTGTGGGCTTCTTATAGTCTGCTGCATTGCGTAGCGATCTTCGCCTTTTGCACCTCATACTACTCGACGTGCACGACGTTTTCTGGTGTCTGGCCGTCGTCATACTTGATTATCTTGGTTCGAGGCTGATTTGTTTCTTAAGTTAAAGAGCTGCGCACATGGAATCGAGATGGCGGTTACACTTCTTCTTCTTGCCTTGTTAGGATCGACTATGGTATATGCGGCTGCGTTTTCTTTACCTGAGGCTACACAGTATACTCCGACGATGGATGGTTGGAGTCCAGCACCTACGGCTGCTCCACAGTTACCGTTCGATCTCTCCAGACGGCAGGACGGCGGAGCTAATACTTGTGGATATGTCTCTGGATCCGGCATCTCAGGTAACCTCATCCTCCATCTACTTCTGAACCTCACTAACATCTAACAGTCAGCGCAATAACATGTCCCAACCCCACAGATGAATGCTCTTCAAACAAGGTCTTCGGCGCACTCGGCTGCTGCCCTTCATCCCGAACGACCGACTGCAACCTAGCCACAACCTGCATCCCCTCCACCGCCTTATCAGCCTCCTGCACAGACACCGCCTGTTCAACCAACGCCTTCATTCTGAAATGCACAGAAAGCTCCGCACCAGCCTGTTACGCATACCACGTCATCTACGACAGAATAGTCCTCACGCAACACGGCTGCGCAGCCAGCGGCTTTACCAGTACCGCATACCACAGCCTGGACATGAGTCTATCGAGCAGCGCCCCAGAAAAGGAGACAGTCTACGCTACCGTCACCAAGGAACCAGTCAGCTCGCCTACGTCCCAGTCCGACTCTGCCTCTTCATCCAACTCCTCAAAACCCAGTCTAGGCGCTATAGTAGGCGGCACTATCGGCGCCTGTCTCTTCCTCTCTTTCATCGGCTTCGTCGTTTTCCTCGCTTGGCGGAGGCGTAGGACCGAAGCGAGGAATACCGCACACTCTACTGGCTCGTTTCATCAAAGGGATAGCAGGGGTATGGTCGAGTATAACGCCATGGGCTTTCCTTCCCCGGGGTTCTCCTCGCAGGGCTTGTCGTCGCCGAGAAGCCCGAGTAGCGAGGTCGATAAAGTGTGGCAGCAGCGGGGCTCGGGTGGAGAGTGGCCGGGGATGGGGAGGGGCAGGCAGATTGAGATTGTGGAGGTGGATGGGACGAGTAGGGCTGTCGAGGCGCCTACTGCTGAGAAGTAAGACGGTTTTAGTAATGTCTGTTGTATTCTTTATGTAATGTTTTGTAGTTTCTTCCAGACTTCGGTCTTGTTGGATGCGGTTTTCTGTTCTTGTTTGTATTTTCTGTACGGTGTTTACGGGGGCGATACCCACTTTCAAAGGTAGTTTGCAGGATGGAAGAGCGGAATGCTCAGGATGGGCGTACACGACCGCGAGGGTATTTATCAAGCAGCATGTGTTGAGTAGAATATTATTACGGTCTTCGTCATATATCCTAAGCGTATGGGGGTCAGTACTACCATATTGCACGCTCTATAGTATTCTCCAGATACGTTGAAGAGATCATCCGAGTAAATTCATCCGCTTGCATAACTACACTATACACACTATGAAGATCGATCAATCTTGATCAGCTGCTAGCCAACGGCGAGTTAGGAACCTTGTCCTGCCGAAGAGGCATCGGATCTACTGGAAGCGCTTCTCAGCGGCCTTCCAGTTGATGACATTCCAGATGGCCTTGAAGTACTCGGCCTTGCGGTTTTGGTAGTCGAGGCTGGAAATCGTTAGTCAGAAGCTCTTCATTAATACTCCATGGTAAACTCACTAGTAAGCATGCTCCCAAGCATCAACACCCAAGATAGGACGGAACTGCCCCACAACCGGATCCTGATTCGCATACGTCCTAATCTGAATAGCACCGGTCTGGGTATCCTGCACCAACCACGCCCAGCCACTACCTTGAATACCCGCTAGAGCCGTGTTGAACTTCTCCTTGAACGCGTCGAGGCTGCCGTAGCTGTTGTTGATAGCAGCAGACAGGGCACCAGACGGGGGCTCGCCGCCGCCCTGGTTGGCAGGCGCGAGGTTCTCCCAGAAAAGGCTGTGGTTGATGTGGCCGCCGCCGTGGAAGTTGATCAAGGGCTGCAGGGCGATTTGCGCCTTGATGTCTTCTTTTTGCTTGGCTTCGGCGATTTGCTCGCTGAAGTTGTTGAAGGAGGTTACGTAGGTGTTGTGGTGGTTCTTGTGGTGCAGCTCCATGATCTTGCCGGAGATGGAGGGTTCGAGCGCGCCGTAGTCGTCTGGGGGATGTTAGTATGTGGTATCTGTAGGAGATAGAATGGAGTCGTACATGGGAGGTCGGGCAGCGTGGCCTTCCCGCGGACGAATGTCGTGCCTGCGAGGCCGGCGCGAGATGTGGTGGGAGCTGCGGCTCGGGCTGCGGAGCGCAGGGCAGATGTGCGGAGGAGTGCGGTGTTCATGGTGGCTTCAATTGATGTGGTGCGTTCAATTGAGTGTGTGGTGTGTTGTTGTTGGTGGTGAGAGGTCGTGGAACTCTGGGGAAGCTTCGGATTTATTAACTGCCCATTTCGTCATATGCGAACATGCCGACCGCCGAGCTCAGAGCTCCTCCACTCCCTCACGGCCATGCGCTCCCCGGCCAATGATGACGCTTGCAAGTCGCCTTACGTTCGCATGATGTATGCAGCATCTGTATCGGGACATGTGCATTCTCATGTGAGAGTATCTCAAAATGAACAGAAAGCTCCAGTGTATGCTAATGCCCCGCGAAAGCCCCGCGCGGGCGTTCTCAGACAGAAACTAGTCAATCAAGACGTGGGTGACAGCTGTGCAGTTTTTGTCAATCGCGTGCCGCAGAAAAGAGACGCTTAATCCAAATACCATAGATCTCACCCCATGTGAGGTGATTGAAGGTTGCCCTGCATTTGGAACATTACCATTACGATTGTGCTTCGCGCTCCATCTTTCTTCTAACATCATCGAGCTACCCCGCCAACGTCATCATGGCGCCAGTCAATGTCGTCCATCTGCCCAACGGCCAAAACCTTACCGTCACGCCCGTGTTTGGCGGCCTCTTCTTCAAGTCGAGCGATATTCACACGCATTCGCCGTTCCCGCCTGGCTGGACCATTGTGCTCAATTCCGAAGATGAGCCCCCTACGGACGAACAGGAACAGCAGCAGCAGGGTCAGGAGGAGCTGTTCCCACCGCGCCATGTGCATCGCTTCAAGAAGCCGACCCTGAACAGAGACCACCTCTACATATCGTCGATATCGAACCCCAGCAGTAGCGAGTTCAAGCCCGCTGCCTCACCAACCCGCCAGATCGCGATGATGCTGTGGGCGACACTGTACTGGTACTTTCACCAGCCCGAACCGACACTCCAGGTCACGAACGCGATCTCCAAGAACACTGCCGATGCCGGAAAGCCAAAGGGCGAATGGCGCATAAACATCAACAGGGAGGGCGTGTTCAAGGGCAAGGTCGTGCTGCCCAAGTTGGAGCGCATGGGACTCATCGCTAGCGAAGATTCGACCGTTGGGTGTGCACAAGAGGAGTCGTCTCCTGAAGGCTGGGAGCGCATGTTTGTCAGTCGGAGGACCTTCTGGCAGCTTGACCCCAGGATATACCTCTTCACTCTCTCGCCGTTAGCCAATACCAACTCACCCTTTCCGTCAGGCTCGCCGTATCCCTCGCGACCGTCGTCCCCCGCGCTTGGGTCTGATGCGAAGCAGGAGCATCAGCTGGACCAGGTCTCACCAGGCTTGTGGTCGCCGACTGCGCCAGGTCCCTTCCACTCGAGCTCGCATCTACCCACGTTCTACCCACCACCTCCTGCGCAATACGTCTTCACGAACAATACGCGACACCCGATACGACCGAAGCCACCTCGGCAGGGCGAGATACTATACACAAGGTACATACCCAGCGTTGGGCAATATCTGTCTTTCCGAGTAGCTTCCATCTCTTCGAAAGCGCTTCGACACCAGGGCCCAGTCTCCAGCCACGCGCCCAGTCCAAACGGCATGTCGGATCCGGAATATCTGCACAAGTGGATGAACGACCCCCGCGTGTCGCATTTCTGGGGCGAGGCGGGTCCGCAGTCCCATCAGGAGCAGTTCCTCAAGAACGGCCTACAATCGAAGAACTCGTTCCCGGTCATGGGATGCTGGGATGGGAAGCCGTTCGGCTACTTTGAGTTATACTGGGTCAAGGAGGACAACCTTGGAAAATACCTGCCCATCGTCAGTGATTACGACCGGGGCTTCCACTGCCTGGTGGGAGAGCAGGAGTTTAGGGGGGCGCATAGAGTCAAGATCTGGTTGAGTGCATTAGTGCACTACTGTTGGCTTGCGGATAACCGGACGGAGAGGGTCATGCTGGAGCCGAGGGTCGACAACGAGAAGTGAGTCTCCGATCATACATATGAAGTACGTTGCTGACTGCGTAGACTGGCAAACTACCTCCAAGAAGCTGGCTTCTACAAGGAGCGCGAGATCAGCCTCCCACACAAGCAGAGCAACCTGTTCAAAATCAACCGCGACGTATGGAAGGGACCGGCGCTGTGAGCCCGCGGAGACGGAAACAAATGTGGAGTTCGTATTTGGGCAGAGCCGCATGAACCGCATGAACGGGTTACGGCTCTTGGTGGATATAGTTTTGTGGAGTAAGCGCATCATGAGATACCAAGGTCTAGACTCTAGCCATGCCATTGAACACGTCTGAACTTGACATGTCACTTGCGTGGGGGAGTGTTTGGTCATTCAATTGAATACGACCGGGGAATCAACCGCCGAGGGCTTGAAAGACATGTATGAGTGAAGCAATTCGGAGATGCCTCGTAGCAAAAGATCGCTACAAGGAGCCTCAAAGCCGCCCAGAACCCCAACAACGCGCGCGGGAAAATTTCTGCTACTCCAAATCGCCATTTTCTTGTCGATCGGCCTATCTCAGGTTCCGAGAGTAGGATGACAATCGACCATTGACGTGCGTTTGCAAAGGTGCGATAGTAGCTAAATGTGGGGTTTAGCGAGGGACCAAAACTTTTTGGCTACACGTGAGGACGTCATTGGTCTGTTGGGATAGAAAAAGGGTGGCCCACGACGCTGTGAATCACCGTTTGGAATTTGACCTCACGATACTCCCTCAGTCCAGCTCTATAGCCCTTTGATTGTAGTGCTAGCATACGTGTTGCGAATTACTACAGGGAACGCTGGAGAGCAAACGTTGATACCGAATTCGGAAGACTATCGGGCTAATCCACAAACGAACCGTTAAAGTCCGCGACCACCACATCACACTCACACTCACTCACACTCCCCTCATACACACGCGCAATCATGGCCGCTCAAGACGCTTCCCTCGATATTCAGTCTCGCATATCGACTATGAAGGCGCAATCTGGTGCCACCATCTTCGATGCGTACCAGACGTCTCTCACCGGCCGGTACTGCTCCCCGGAGATGTCGCAACTCTTCTCGCAGCGCAGCCGGCACTCGATATGGCGCAAGCTGTGGTTGTTCCTCGCGGAATCAGAGAAAGAGCTTGGTATTCAGAGTATCACTGATGATGCGCTTTCTCAGATGAGGGAGCATCTGACTGTTACGGATGATGATTTCGGTGTTGCCAAGGTCGAGGAGAAGAAGAGGAGACACGATGTTATGGCGCATGTGCACGCTTTTGGTCAGGTTGCCCCGGCTGCCGCTGGTATTATTCATTACGGCGTATGTTTTCATATGTGAAAAAGTCAAGATGACTCAAACTGATATCGCACAGGCAACAAGCTGCTACGTAACCGACAACGCAGAACTAATCCTCATGCGCGACGGTCTGGATCTCCTCCTCCCCAAACTCGCAAAGGTCATTTCCAACCTCTCAGCCTTCGCCCTGCAATGGAAGAGCGAGCCCACACTCGCCTACACGCATCTGCAACCCGCTCAACTTATCACCGTAGGCAAGCGCGCAGCCCAATGGGCCCAAGACCTCCTCTTCGACCTCGAAGCCATCGAGCTCGTCCGTGAGACCCTGCAATTCCGGGGCGCCCAAGGCACAACCGGCACGCAAGCCTCGTTCCTCGAGATCTTCAACGGCGACAGCAAAAAGTGCGACCAGCTCAACGAGCTGCTCTGCAAGAAAGCCGGTTTCCCGTCTTGCTACGCCATCTCCACGCAAACCTACACCCGCAAAGTCGACCTCCTAATCGCCAACGCCATCTGCGGGCTCGGGGCGTCCGCCCAAAAAATCACCGGCGACATCCGGCACCTCGCGGCGTGGAAAGAACTCGAAGAGCCGTTCGAAAAAGACCAAATCGGCTCCTCGGCCATGGCATACAAGCGCAATCCCATGCGCTCCGAGCGCATCTACGCCTTATCCCGCGAACTCATGTCCAAGCCCGCATCCTTCGCCAACACGCTCTCCGACCAATGGATGGAGCGCTCCCTCGACGACTCCGCGATCCGCCGCATGGATATCCCAGAAATGTTCCTCCTCGCCGACGCCATCCTCCTGTCTCTCGACAACGTAACTTCGGGTCTCGTCGTGTACCCCAAGCGCGTCGACGCGCGTGTGCAGGAAGAACTGCCCTTCATGATCACGGAATCCATCATCATGCGCCTCGTTGCGAAGGGCGAGTCACGCCAAGAAGCCCACGAGCAGATCCGCGTGCTGTCGCACCAGGCTGGTGCGCAGGTCAAGAACGAGGGTAAGAGCAATGATTTGGTGGAGAGGATCCGCAGCACGGAGTTCTTTAAGCCGATTTGGGCGGAGCTGGATGGTATGTTGGATAGTAAATTGTACACTGGTCGCAGTGAGGAGATTGTGGAGAAGTTTTGTGGGAAGGGGGGTGTGCTGGAGGGGAAGTTGAAGAAGTATGCGAGTTATATTGAGGGGGCTAAGGTTAGTGAGTTGAATGTTTAGGGGAGTGTGTTTGGGTGGTTGTGAGGAATGGGATGGGATGGGTTTTACGAGTCTGATGCAATCATGGATTATGGTAGAGAAAAAGTGATCAACTCACGATGTTTGCTTGAAATGGAAAATGACTATTGGATTGAACGCCAAAGGAATAAGATCGTCGTGTCGTTCGTCATCCCATATATATACCCTCGATATTACCTACTTGCTATGCTAATCAATATGTTCAAAACGCTGGTAATGCAGATATTGCTGACGAACCCTTCTAACGCTGTACGATGCGATCCCAAAGAAATGCCAGATGCCAGATACCAAACAAACGCTACACCGAACCATACCCCCAAGTAAACCCTCCCACTACGCACAAAGACAAGACTAATGCCTAACCCCCTGCATCCACCGATCAATCTGATCCCTCTGTCTGGGATCCATGGGCGGCTCCATCATCCCCCCATGCATCATCCCATTCATCCCCATCGGCATCTGCATGCCATTCATACCCATCCCGCCCATCTGCATCCCACCCATTTGCATACCGTTCATCTGCATCCCGCCCATCTGCATCGGCATCTGCATGCCCATACCGTTCATCTGCATGCCCATGCCATTCATCTGCGATCCCATACCCATCATGCCACCCTGTTGCATCATGCCAGGCTGCTGCATGCCCATCTGCATCGGCATACCCATCATGGACTGGTGCTGTCCCATACCGTTCATCATGCCTGGCATTTGCATGCCCATCATACCTTGCTGGGGCGGCATGGCGCTCATTCTTTGCTGGTTGGCCATCATCATGGGGTTCTGAGCGTTCTTGTAGGCTTGGATTTTCTGGCCGAGCGGGATGTCGTCGTCGTCTTTTTGGTTGTTGGTCATGTTCTTCAGAAGTGGGTCCATGGAGCCGTAGGATGTGGCGCGCATGGTTGCAGTGAGACGTTGCTGCTTTTTGCGCCCTTGGTCTAGCTCGTTTTGGTGGAGGAGGCTGCCTTGTGGAAGGTGCGAGACAAGGGCTTCGTTGGAGACTTTGCGCGCTTGGTTGTGCGGGTCGATGGGGTTGGCGGAGAGGATGTCCGCGAGACTGCTGGAGGAACGGAGGTTGGGTCGGTGGCCGGATTGGGGGGCTTGTTCGCCTCGCAAGGCGGCTTCGGCTTGCAGGCGAGCGCGACGTTGGCCGAGGGTCTCTTCTTCCTCTTCGTCGTCGGCAGCGGGAGGGGGTGCTGGAGGAGTGTCTTTGGATTGCTCCTGGCCTTCTGGAACACCGAACTTGCTCATCATCTCGGAGGCGAAGTCATCGCTGACTGTGCTCTTGCGCACATCGCCAAGTGCTGATTCACGCTGTTGCTTCTCCTTGATGCGGCGCATACGGTCAGCCAGCGTCTCGCCAGGCTCCTCATCCGAGTCTGGTTCCGGCGTTGTGATGGTAGGAAGGTTGAGCTGGCTTGATGAGGCTCCAAGGTACTGTGTGCGTCGTTGATTAGGGTCAATGCCGAGTAGCCTGGTGCGACGGCTACTGAGGGGTTCGCGGTCCTCCAACTCTCGCTGCTCGATAAGACCCATGCTCTTTTGACGCATTTGCTGTTGCTGTTGAGGTCTGTAGAGAACACCAAGTGGTACGTCGTCATCTGAGTCTTCTTCCGGCGGAGCTTCCCAGGCAAGGTTTACTTTTTTGCGGATTCGTCGTTGCTTCTCGGCTTCCGCCACGTCGTTCATCTGGAGCAGGGTTTGTCTACCGTCAATCAACCCCTGCTCCATCAGTGTCACGTAGTTCATCTTCCGACCCTGCTGTTTCGCCTTGCGTAGCTGAAGCTCAGCGAGAAGAGTAGTCGGCGCGCCGTATTGTGGTTCTGGCTCCCCTTCCTCTTCGCTCGATTCTTCTTCTTCTCCTTCTTCATAATGGTCTTCGGTGTGTTCTTCAAATGAAGGTCGAATAGCATCGGGATCACGTCCATCCGGTCCTCGTGCGTCCTCATCACGCTCCTCTAATTGGTCACCGAGGCTCATCCTGCTCTCGCTTGCTTTGACAAGTAGTAGATTCATATCAGCCGAGCTGTTCCGTTTCTTCAACTTCTTCAGGCGCTCGCCCTTTGCGTTGTGGTCAGTATCCAGTATGTTGAACGAGCTGCGTCTTCGCGTCTCTGCCAGTGTCGGTGGCATCTCCGGTAATTTGGAACTCCTGCGCTTGCGTTCCGCACCGTACACCTCGTCGCCGACATGTCCAGCAAATGGATGATCAGTGAATGCAGACACAGGAGCATGTGCAGAAGCGTCCAGGATGCTTTCGAGCGTATCCTCCGCAGACTCTCCCTTGACCGCAAACTCCTGTGTGGGGGCAGCTCGGTTGTCAAAGTAGGCGCTTGCTCGTAGTTGCGGTGGGAGCGCCATGAGACTCTGCCGGCTCTTCCTGTTGTTAGGCTTCGGGTCTGCCAGATTATCACCAAGCAATGGCATGGATTTCCTATGCTCGTTTTGCATGGAATCCAACAATCGCGACCGACGATTGGCTTGCTGACTCATATTAGGCAATTGTGACAGGCGCTTGGGTAGGTTCAGCATCTTCGGTACGGGAGCCGGGTAGAAGACCATGCTATCGTCCGGCGGCGGTGCGCCTATTGAGTGGACGCTCGGATTGGATCTCATTATGTGGGAATGATTCGAGGAATGTCGGCTGTGACTGTGGTGGGATGGTTCGGGTTCCTCCTCAACAGTATCTGGGCAGTGAACGCCATCGAAGTCATGCCATAATGTACGTGCTTGGTGTGTGGTGTCGGTCGAGGCTGCTGTCGGCGGTCGGTCTACGAAATCGCGGTAGTCTGCATATTGGTTCTGCAACTCCTCGTCTGGCTCCGGGCGTCTAGGTGGGGTGCCTATATGGATACTGTTACGCAGCTCTTCAGGTAACCCATTCGCGACTTCGTCGAATATGCGTGTAAAGGACGAAACCTTCCGTTGGGGCGGCGAAGCAGAGTCGCGCTCTTCATTGTGTTCCTCCTCGACCTCCTCTGGGTGTACAATCTGTCCGAGACGCGATGCCTTTGATTCCGAGCGCTGGCGCTGGACCGAAGTCGAGGGTTTGGACCAGTTGCCTGTCCCTGAGCGCAGCGACCCTGCAGGAGAGGTTATGTAACCGCCCGGAGAGTATCCGCCCCATCGTGCATTCCCGTTGAGGTCTACGATTGAATTGGCGTGGGAGCTTATCGAAACGCCGCGACTTCGGGTGCTGGCCTGTCTCGTAGGCTCGAGGTCGGTCGTCTGCAATGACGATCGCCGGCTGTCAGTCAGCTTTAGTTCCGAGTATGTCTTCCGAATCTCCTCCTGCAGGTCTGAGCCGGACTCGCTCATGCGTTCGGCATGCTCTTCCAGGCGTTCGATGTTGCCGACATATGCCCCTTGCAGCGATTGGAGATCGGGCACCGGATGACGGAGGTCGCCGTCAGTCTTGGGGGAAGTCATCACAAAGACAGACAGTAGAGGGCCGCCGCAGAGGTGAGAGAGTCTCTACTTGACTGCGGTGCGACTCTGGTAAAGGAGACTTTTGGTGTGATTGTTGCACCGAACCGGACATGGGTGGAGGGTGATCGACCCCGATCCTTTCCAAGAATAGCACCCAGCACGTTACGGCAGGAGCGACCCAGACCTAACGGTTCTTGGCGCTGTCACCCAGAACTCGCGACTGAACATCATTTTGCGACAACGCTCCCGCCTCGCCCACGGTCCATCCACGACAAATCACGTGGCGCGCATGTCTGCCTGATTCACTCCAGTATATTGCGACACCTACTGCCACATCGAACCCACGACCAGACTCACCGCGCGCGCCGAACAGCTGCCGGCTGCCAATAATACCCTCGTATTCGAATATTTACACATACGAACACCTCCACCATGGACGAAGGTGGCAAGCGCAAACACAGCTTTCGCCAGCAACCCAACAAGCGGGCGAAAGCCGAAGATGGCTCCGCGCTCAAGTCTGGCTTCGGTGCCAAGATGCTGGCGAAGATGGGATACAAGGGCGAGGGTGGTCTGGGAAAAGAAGGCGCTGGTATCTCAGAGCCTATCCAGGTGGTGAACCGAGGCACCAAGGGCGGTATCGGTAGCGTCGCAGAAAAGAGCGAACAGCAACGGCGCGAGGAGCGGCGCAAGGCTGAAGAAAATGGCGAGAAGTATGTCGACACGTCGGAAGAGGAGCGCCAGGAGAAGAAAAAGAGGAAGGCCAAGGCTCGGGGCGAGACGCGAACATCAGCCCCACGACCAAAGAAGACCGTTTTCGAACTCGAGCAAGCTGGCATGCATGTGCCGCTTGCGCTACAATCCATCATCGACGCGACAACCGGCGCATCGACCCCTACCTCAGGCGTGTCGCTCCGCGGTCCTGACATTGTTCCATTCGAGAACTCCCTACAAGCGCGCGTACGGAGAGATCTGAACAGCTTCTCGGAGGCATTCGAACAGCTGCAAGTAGAGTCGCAAGCCATCCCTCCGCAGGAATACGCGCTGCAAAAGGAACTGGAAGCGCTCGAAAAGCAGATGGACGAGCTGGAGGACCTACAAGCACGGATAGAGTCACTGCGTACAGGCACCTTCGAGGTTGTTTGCGAAGGTCTCAAGAGCCTGCGCGCGGCTTACCCGTCCAAGCCACTACACCGTGAATCCATTGCCGTTATACATCCCCACTTCTCCAAAGCGGTGGCTTCCTGGGAGCCGCTCGAGGGTGCGTTAGAAGGCGTGGCGGCAGCCTTCTCTGAAATGGCGAATATCATACAACCTCGAAGTAGAAGGGTTGCGTCCCAGGCCTACACTCACCCCTCTGAAGCACTGGTTAGTCGCACCGCAATCGACGAAGAAGACACGATAAAACGCGGCACCACATCGTCATATGAGTCCATGATGCTCAGATACTGGCTGCCAAGAGTAAGCTCAGCGATCACACAATGGGACGTCAAGAACCCACAACCCATGGTGCATCTGCTAGAAGTTTGGAAGCCAGTTCTCCCGCCATTCATCGCGAAAAGAGTGCTTGAGCAGGTGACTACAAAACTCTCTACTTCTGTGCACGAGTGGAACCCGCGAAAGTTCAAGAAGAGCCCACATACATGGGTTGTCGAGTGGCTGCCTTTCCTTAGACCAGCTGACTTGGACCCCAAGGGATCGGGCCTGGTCGCCGAAATCAAGCGCAAGATCCGGCATGCACTGCAGTCTATTGATCTTTCCAAAGGTCCGCTACCGGGTATGGAACAATGGAGAAGGGTATTTGGAAAGGCGGAGTTTGATCATCTACTCACTTCCCATCTGGTACCTCGTTTGTCGGCCTTCCTGCAAGACAGCTTTGAGATCAACCCCGCTGAACAAGATCTCGCGCCACTCGAGGCCGTGTTCGCCTGGAAAGGACTGATATCGAACGAGGTTATTGGAGAGCTGCTGAAAGCACAATTCTTCCCCAAGTTTCTCGAGATTATCCACCAATGGCTCACGAGCCCGGAGGTGGTCTTTGAGGAAGTCCAGACGTGGCTTACGTGGTGGAGGACAGAGATCTTGCAGGACGACATCAACAATCTGTCTTCAGTCGCCTCATCGTGGAACGAGGCATACTCACTCATCAACACGGCACTGGATCTTGGAGATGCGAGACTGACAGACCTGCCCGCGCCCCAGGTGGAAAGCACGGGAGCCTCTCCAGAGGTGTCTCAGTTCTCCAAATCGGTCAACCAACAAGCATCCCGTCCTACACCGCAAGTCGACGAGCCGACTTTCAAGGACATTGTAGAGGAGTTCTGCGCCGAAGAGAACCTCCTTCTCCTTCCTCTCCGCGAAGCCCACGACCAGACCGGTCTACCCCTGTTCCGTGTCACAGCAAGCGCGACGGGACGCGGAGGCGCAGTGGCGTATCTCAAAGGCGATATCCTGTGGGTGCAAAACAAGAAAGACAAGAGTCTCTGGGAGCCTACCGGTCTGGACGCAAAGCTCATAGCCAAGGCAGAGGGCAAGTGATGCCTCCCGCTTCAAACTGCGTATTTCACACCACCTCGGTGCTCGGTTCTGGCAGGGTAAGCTCCCATAGCCTCTCCTGGGCAGATATGTTTGCTAGCATTCGCTAATCCGGCATCGGTACGATGCTTCCTTAGGTAGTGATAGTGATGACGACTCGCAGTCAGTCGAGGCTATAATAAAGCCACGTTATCTCTCCACCAGCGTCCGTTCGTAAGCATAGTAAGGCATACCAAAGTGCCGAAAGTGTTGCATGAATCGTGAACGAAAGAGGTGTACGGCCAATGCGAACGGCTGTCACAGCATCGGGGGGTGACGCGGGCGTTTTAATCGGTCCTTGCTGCAAGCCTAGTCTGTGACTTTCGTTGCATCGCCCATCACGGGCATTAAGCCACGAGGCCGCGTAGAATTATTCACTTCAGGTGACGAGTCGGACTGCGAAGGAGATATCTGATCCTGGATTGTCGCCAATATAGTGGCTCCGTGATGGCTCGTGATTACTAGTGTGATGGGGTGACTGTGCGCTGATTCGCATGTGTAGGTATAGTCGGGCGCTTAGAATAGATTTTCGTGGCCAATGGGAATAGCGGATTGAGTGCGCATTTTCTGGCGTGCAGGGGCTGCCTTTCATGCATGCGGACTGTCGTGGGTGGGTGGGGGAGACGGAGGGAGGACGGTGGAGGTCACAGCTGGTCTATTAGTCTGCTGCATTAATTGTACTCCAGTATCGAGTACTCGGTGTTGATTCCTGCGCATAGCACTTCAGTAAAGGGCTTGCTCTCCTGCGGTTTGTAGCCAATAGGAAGCTTCAAGACATAAGTGGGGACATGGCATTAGAATAGCCCTAGGTAGTCCTCCATCGCCAATAGGAAACGCAGAACGGGTGCGCATTTCTTGGTCTTGCAGGGGACGCCTTTCATGCATGCGGACCGTCTCCCGTTGACTGTGCCCCGAGCTGGCAGGCGATCGCGCATGTCCGGGAGGTTGGTGTTGGTAGTCTCGAGTACTGTGCGCTCGAGCGTTGCGGCACGAGTAAACATGTTTCTTGAGGTTTTCTTCACCACAACGACAACAACTTACTGCACAACAATTACGCGTATCACCGTATAGACTCGATGCTTATAGCTCAAGCCTCGAATGTCGAGATTTATCATCGGCACATCCCATCCCGCTCTAGCTTTAACGAAGCGACCCCGCCTCAGCGGCTGAGAGACAGCATCCACTGGACGCCCCAATGTAGCTCAAGAACTAGGCCGGCCAATCAGACCGCACATGCACCTTCCCAAGCCATCACACCCAGTCGCTCTTTCCTTGCATCCGACCACTTGCAGACCGCCGATCAAAGTACTTACCCGCTGCCCATCCCTCTTCATATCACCATGTCGCCTGCTGTTACACTCTGCATTTCATCCGGTTCCTCTCAGTCGGGATAGCGGGCACTCATTCATGTGCAATTGCGGCCCTAGATCGACATTGCACCCTGGACGACCTTGACGAAGCAGCAAGCAAGCTCGAAAGTTAGACCGCCCACATCTGATTGTCACATTATTCCTCTTTTCTCTGTTATATATTTCCAGTCCCCCCTTGACCTGAGGGCGCGGATTACGATGCTCGTCGGAGCGCTTCCTCCGGCACTCATCTCACTGCTTCTTGTTGCATCGCGTGTTTCTGCTGCGCCTTACGACTTTCTCGATAACTATCGCGACCCCACGCCGGCGGCTGACGAGGGGCCTCCTGCTTCATATCAGGCTGTCCGAGACAAGAACGTGCTGCCGTACGAGATTTGCGGTGTTGTTGGCGGCTACGTCTTTACAGTACTTATCTGGGGGGTTCTTCTCCTCACTGTTGGTAGAAAGATGAGACGAAAGGCTCTCGACCCGCCCAAGCAATTGGAGCTGGAACTCCAGGATAAGCCGACTCTGCCGGCTCTTCGAACAGCTGGACTTACATCGCCACCGCTATCCGCGCGCTCGTTTTTCGGAAAGTTCAAGAGGAACAGGAACGACTCTGCTGTGAGCAACCCACAGAGTCCTGTTGTTCAGTCACCAAGCTCGTTCGACCAGAAGGTTCTTGATGCCCACCGGGGTCAGGATCAAGCAGACATGGAACGTCTCTACGCCGCCGTCATGGATTTCGACGAGCGCAAGCACTCCTCCAAAGTCAGTGTAGAAGAAACAGAGCCCATCCCGCGACCCACCGAGCGACGACGCCCCTCAAATATCAGCATCGCGCGCCCAGAATCCCATGCCGAAACCCCAATCTCGCCCGTAAAAGCCATCTACCCACCAAACTACAGCGTGCAGCAACCCGCTGCCCCTACCCACAGCAGCCACCTCCGCGCCGACGCGCACCCACCCCCAAGCCCCCGCAGCATCCTCTCCAAGCGCTCCCAAAACTCCAACACCAACTCCACCGGCAGCAAAAACGCGCGCTTCAACTTGAAGAACCTGCGCATCTCAGGCCCGATC